CAGGAATATATCAGCTTTTTGTTTGAATTAGCTGCTTACAAGAGCCAGGTTCTTTTCTCTACATCAGATCTGGTTCAAAACCTAAAATAAGTTCTCACTTCTAACAGGATCTGATTGTTTTACTCTTCAGCTTCGGAGTTTGAAATGGATGATAGGATCTCTATATGCTGAACATAGTGAATTCACCAGAAGAAATGCTTGCTTCCATTAAAGCATGGGAGGTTAAAAAGTAGGTTGGATGGAGGTATACCAGCCAAGGAAAATGGCAGTGGGTCAGTCAAAGGTAGCAGGACTAAGGGGATTGTGTTATCATGAAGGATATGAGCTCTATTGTCAACATACTTCACTAGACTATTCCTAGGGATACTCCAGGACCTACATAACTCTGTTTGCCCTTTGGAGTTTATGATCCATGATGTTTTCAGGCTGGGTTCTCTTTCCTCTCTTAACACATGGAGGTAACACCACCAGGAGGCCCTTGCTCTAGTCTAGTAGTTGTTTATTGTTCCAGAGGGTTGTCCCAAACACAGAAATATCAGACTTCATTAGTATCTGTACAATGATACGGAGGAGGACACTGGAGTTAAGCTTTCTGCATAACCAAGAGCAGAGTTAAAGCAAACAGTACCATGGAGTAACTCTAGAATAGAAAGAAGAAACATCTTTTGTAAGTATGGTATCCTTGCACTGGCACTATTTATTGTCTGTCATTTCCAATCAGAATATACTTGTCAGCTATTATCTAAAGGCTTTTGTTCTGTCTGTCAAGATTTGCTGAAAAATCAGCTCACCAGCCTTCCCAATTGAGGTTGGACATCAAAACTCTATTGCCCTTTTACAATAATCTCATAATGGACCTTCACTTTCATTGTACAAGAAACATTTTATTTATCAGTTCAAAGCATCCTGACTGGCTAAGAAAGAACAAGACACTCAAGAAGTTCTTTCTAAAAATTGCCTTTATTTTCTTCCATCTTCTTAATGAATAGTTTTGTTTCATGGAAATACTGTCAGTTGGTGATTTGCAGCCATATTTCTCTTTCCATACACTC